TTTAGCTAAAGCAATAAAATTTGGTTTAGTCTTGTTGTGGCAGCATTAGGCGGGCCAGAATGAATTACCCAACGGGCCGGATTTTGCCCATGTCAGTGTTAGAGTGTTTGTCTAACAACGTTTGCATGGTTTGAATTTCAACGCATTCGATATTCTGCCATTATACAACCGACCGAAACAGACAAGGAAGGAGTTTATTTCAAAATAGTTTTCTATTCCTATCATACCTTCACATAAAGCCGAGTTAAATTTTCAGCCGGTACAAGTTGAGTGTGGATTATAAATTTCATACAAATTGGTTGCAAATTCATCTCATGGGCTGCAGAAAGACTCAGCTAAGACTAAAGCGTCAAATAATAAAAAGAAGAACTAAAAATTTAAATGCATGAACACGATCCGCCCCAAGCACAAGAATAATATAATTTTGTACCATAACCAGGGTTATAGAGTCGGCGTTCCTCACATTTTCTTAACCCAAAGTGGAGGCCTGACTTTTTCCAAACAGGAGTCGGAAGTCAGTTTCGATTGCAAATTTTCTATGACTTGCGACCATCCTCTCAACCTCAAGTTATTTACACATACCAATAAACATCAAAATCGGAACGATTTACATCTCGCTTTAGTCAATCAGTGCTCTTCGGGCCAAGCAATGCATGGAAATCAACAATAACTTATTTTTGGTGATATGAAGTAGCTTACATTTGCTGCATGCTTTCGTTTCAAACATATCAGACTATCATTCACCCAATTAAATCAAAATTAGATATATATTCGACCCCCACAGTTGACAAGTTTAAGTAACTTGAAATTTTCAGAATGCTTCAGAAATGCAATGGCTGTCACACTATTGATATTAGGCTTTCAAAATGTAGAATAAAGTTCTGAAACTTTGACGTACATCAGGGGTCCGGCCGCTTCACTGAATTATAGTAACAAAACAGCTGTTTCGACGATTATTCTTTACGTAACAGAATTTATTGTGAGACACATGTAGACTAAATTATGTTATAATCTAACAAGTATAAGATTCACAATTACTCCTTTAATGAGCGTACAATTTAATTATAATTAGACAAATGATAACAAAACGCAGAAAAGTTGATGCTATGTGCAAAGGGTTCAATGGCGTCGAAAATAATCAAATGCAATTTTTTGAGATGCAATGCAACGAGGAAATAAATTTATATTCTATTCGAGAGATTTTTTCGAGAGATGATTTTTATTATAAAAAGTGTCATCTGTTCGATTTGCAACTTTCTAAAAATATTTGCGGCCCGCCAATGACTTGCAACCCTTAATTTTGGCCCGCGAGCGACAAAAGGTTGCCGACCCTTGACGTACATAACAAGCCGCTCTGGTCAGTAAACCACCTTGATAAACCAAATATTTATGTTCATACTTTCTTTCAAGATTTTTGCGTTATGAATCGCGATAATAGACTTTAAATTCCAAAGACGCCCACTGAAACGATGAATTCGCTTATGCTTGGTATAAAAAGTATTCTCAATGTGAATTCAAAATGCATAGGGTATCTTTTACCATGTAACTAGTACACAAGATATGGGTTTCATTTTGAGAGGGTGGTTTATTTCAACCATATCTTAGCATTTTTTCACCTATGAAAAATTTGTCCAAGTAATATGATAATTACTTTTACACAATTTTGTTACAAATTCATTTCACAGATAGATACGCAGGGTGTTGAAAAGCCGCGGATACGGATATAAAAGGGTAAGGAAGAGCAACAATTGGAAAGTGGAAAGGAACTAAAAAAAATATTTTCGTCGGTTCTTAGCAGAATCAACAATTCTGCGAAGCGAATGCATGACAAAAGCGAACTTTGGTTATTTATAAATTATCTTATGCAGGATAATAAAAGTTTCAAAAACAAACAATTTCAACATTACGTCTTATGGGTTATGTGGTCATTAGATTATATATTTGTATTCGTTGTTTCGGCGACTTCGTCCGGTTTGACTCAATTTCCAGCCGTCTAGCTTAACCAGTAGTTGTGCTAGATCAGGGGTGACAAACCCATTTGCTGTCGCGGGCCACTTTATCAGTCACCGCTGAGTTAGCGGGCCGCACAATTTTTAGTCAAACTACAGTATGATACCTGTTGATTTTCATCTACAAAACGAACAACCGCATTCATACAGCTGATGTTATTTAATTATACAATGCAATATTAAAATAAAAAAAACATCCACTGAATGTATTGCTTATTTAGATTTTTCCAAAACTAGTTTGCTTCACTAAGCGCTTTAAATTGGAACAAACTGATGATTTAAAAATTTCCAACTGCATACTAAGAATTTCGTCTGTCAGTATCGATCACGTTCGGTTTAGGTGCCGCGACATTTCAGCCGGCCGCGAGATCCGCTCGGCTCGTATGTTCGAGATCCGAATTTCCATTCGAATACCGAAGCATTTTTAACAGAAAAGCACTGAATGAAATAAATTGTAGTCTTTGATATTTTATCACAGATCTAGGGATTTCTCTAACGTTGATATGAATATCTTGAAAATAATCTCGGGCGGTAGCATTGTGAGAGAGCGGAGTCAGTGATGCAAGAACATCAAATTTGTATAACTAATTCGTAACAACGCAAAAATACGAATCAAAACTAAATATAATCGGGCAGTTGGAAACACTTTTTATAGTCGTGGATTGCTGTGATATTCCAGCATAGTAATGTTCTTAACGCGTGTTGCATAAAACACACAACTGAAGTAAGAAAGCAATAAATTATACATGGGCTCCTATTGGTCGTCAATGAAATACTTTGCGCAACTGCAAAATCGTTAACCGACAACATACCATAACAGTAAAAAACAATATTCATCGAAAAAGTGGGCTCTTTTCACAACTGGCCTAATTGCGCCGACAGTTGCATCGGATTCTTTTCGATTACCCTTTTCCCCAATGGTAATATACACCTACGCATTATCGAAACTTCCTTCATGGCATTTTGTGTCGCGTTAATATGCAAAATTCTAGTTG